AGAGTTACACAAGATCTAGCAGTCACGAGTCCACTATTCGTGGGTAGGTAAACAATAAAGAAAAGATGAGAAAATTTGGGATGAACTGAACAGAAAATGTGTGAAATTATCCAACAGTGATTACATTGATAAAGCTGCGACACTGATGTATTTCAATAAAAGAAAACTATATAAATAAACCCATGTGTATATGAGCTTTTATCCATATACAATGCTGAACCCCTTTCATGAGGCCCTCGGTAAGTCACAGTTTTTGCTTGGATCCTGACACTCGCAACTTAGCGATGGGTCACTGTACCTTCTTATAATACCCTAAAATGTGATCTGGTTACAACAATTCTCGGCAAACTCCCTAGCGAATTGGCTAACTGCTTGGGTTTGACTGAACAGTTTATGAATCTCACTGGCTTCGACTTGTGACCAAGTCCACTATGGGCGAGTCAATATTGCAGTATGTTATATTGCTGTAACCCTGGTATGGTTTGAATTATATAGAGGCATTAAAGGCAATTGCCTCAATGCCCAAAGAGTTTGTCTTGGTGCCCTTCCAATAATACAGTATTATGGTAATAATTGTTAAACCAAACAACAGTGTTTAAGAACTAGGCCGATAAGTTATTTCATTTCTACACCTAAAAAATATTTGTTATGGAATAATGTCTGAAACCAGCTGAAAAAAGGACAGGATATCGAGATCTGATGTTGCTAATATCATGTTTATCATTCTCCATGAATATGTGGAAGTTAGCTGGAACATTGTATCTTGAAATTTCAAAATGCATTCTCTACATTGGAGTAAAAATTATTTCTAATATGGCTCCGACATTAAAATATGAATCTCAGCAACACTGTGCATACATTGTGCTTTAAAACTTGTCTTTTTTAGGTAGTATGATATTTTAGCTGATGTGTAATTTCAAGATGTAGCTAATTTAACAGAAAGTATACTCTCCTGATGTGATTGTTGACTCTTTACCTAAATTAAGATTAATGGGAAGTTAATTTTCGTGTTAAGTCAAATTACATGTACCTATTTCAACAGGGTTTTACTGTAAAACAGTTTTAAGAAGTTTTTGAACATTGTCAGTTTATTATATTTATGTACTCTGGCCTTGGTTCAGTTATAGTAGCATTGTATTGCTGATGAAATCATAATGCAAACAAAATATTTT